GTTTACCATAACTCTGCTATTTGCAGCAATTATATTGTTTTGGATGTGTTCAATATTATCATTTAAAATTTTTTTTCAACATAATGTCCATATGAAATAAATGTAAATGAATATCTCTGTTAGACTGATCTAGGCTATTAAATTTACTGCCATCTTTTGCCTGCCTATTTCGAGAATTTTAGTGAGTTTTCTCATTGCGTCATTGATATTGTTGTTATAAGCTATTATTGTTAAAAGCTTCTAATATATTGTTAGTGTTTTCATCTACAGTATTTAAATGGTTCTCTATTTTGGATCAATCTTCATCATCCATAGTACCACCTATCCATTTAACCCCTGATCCTATGATGTTGGCTAAACCTCTTTTATCTTTATTTATCTGGAGGGTAAGTAATCTAGTTCTAGCTTTAATTATTTCTGATAGTATAAATTCTTTATAATCTACTAATTTTAGTTGTTGCACATTTTCTCGAAGGTTTCCAATTTCGGTTAGATCTATAATATGGAGTATGGTTGTGTAATCTAAAAGTAGTTGTATATCGCTTAATTTTATTTCTATGTATACGTTATTATTTTCATTGATGTGTTGGATGTTTAGCGATGATATTACCAGTGGTATTATCGTTAGGATTAATATACCTGTTGATGTCCAGTGCCAATGAAAATTTACTCTTCCTTTTAATGTTGCTTGTATACGTATATTTTCTAAATTCAATTTTTTGTAACGAGGTTCATATTTATGGCTTAGTTGTAATTTTTTACGTAACCTTCTTGATAATTTTGTCTGAATTCATCCCAATTTTCGTTTCTTTTTCCTATGACTTCGCTTTTTGCTTCAAAATTCCGTTTAATTAGAGCCTTTTTAATTTTTCCTTCTATTATGTCTAAAGGTTTTGCCGTTATGGTGGAATGTATGGACTTGTTGTACCACTCGATGCATTTGTATACACGTTCCTGTAGCTGTCATACGACTGAAAGATCCATTTTGATCTATTGCAGATATCATAATTATTTATGTATTTTTGTACGAAGCTTTTGAATTTTTATAGTGAAGATTTGTTTTGATCCCTTCGTAGTTTTCTGTTATTCTCGCATGACCTGTTTCGTTAATGTGATATTTTGCAATTTGTTTAAACAATTCATCCTCGCTGTTTATTTCATTTACGTTGAAACTACATTTATAAAACCATATTTCAGTACTGAATAATTCAGTCAATTTGATTTGGACCCGCTTGTATAAATTGGTCTATATATCATTTCAGCTTATACCTATATATTTTGATATTACGATTTGTTACTTTTGTATCCTCCAATTTGTTATCTGTAATTATAATTTGGGTTGCAAATCTGTTAACTACTGTATTGGGGGGGGATAAATTTCTAATGGCTTTTACTTTCTTAAGAGTGAATTGATTCTGTGTTCATATTATAAATGCTGTTACTTTATTCGACTTTTCCGATAGTTAATATGTCCCCTGGTTTACTTTTTGTTCGACCTATGAAATTGGCGACTTTATTTTCTTTACCTTTGATGTAATTAATATGTGTGTTATATTCGCCAAGTTTTAAAACCCACCTTTGAAGTCTTGGGTTAATGCATTTTCCTTTTGTTTTTGTGTGCAACCAAACAAGTGGTTGATGGTCTGTTAGGAGCTCAAATGGTTTATTATATTAAAAGGGAGAATAGTTAACCGACGAGACGTTTACAAGCAAGTTGTTTCCGATTGCAGCATAATATTTTTCGTGGTCATTTAAGGTCCTGCTTGCATAAGCAATAGGATGATATCCTTGCGAAAAGACCGTTCTTATTGCATAATCGCTAGCATCCGTTGTCAGTTTGAAACTTGTTGACTAGTCGGGTTGTAATATTTGGGGATTAATGAGCATTATTTTAAATTTTTGAAATGCATCTATATATTGTGAATCTTTTATGTTAATTTTTTGGTTTTACTTTAGGTGGTTTGTAAGACCATAAGCTACTTTGGTATACTCTTTTATGAACTTCTTAAAATAGCCTGTAATACCTAAAAATTATTAGCTTCTGAATATCTTCCACTTTTGTTGAATTAGGTTTAATGCCCTGTATTCAAAGTGTGATCAAGATACAGGATTTCTTTACAAAAAAAATTGCATTTGTCTATTAGGATTTTTAAATTGTGCTCCCTTAATTTCATAAAACTTTGATTTATGCTGTTCATATGATCTTTAATGGAAGTGCTAAAAATAAGTACATCGTTAAGATAAACGACGCATATTTTGTTGATGTAGTCCCTAAGTAAACGTTAATCAATCGTTGAAAGGGAAACGAGAATTCTTCAATCCAAATGGCATACGGATGAATTTGTAATGACCGAAAGGGGTAGAAAGGGACAGTTTTTATTTTGATCGTTTTCTTCCAAAACTTGGTGAAATCCATTCGCCAAGTCAATTGTTGAAAATTAGTTTGCTTTTCCTAATTTGTCTAACATATTTAAAGCATTAAGTGCTTTAAATATATTTTGACCAATTAGTAAAAAAAAAGTTTATTTCGAAATTAGATTGCCTTCCAAACCATTTTGTTAGGGTTATTCAAGTCCTTAGTTAATTCTGTTACAATTTCAAAATCGACTTTGTTGTTTGTCTTGCTTACGTACTATATATGTTGGGTCTTGCTAATCTAATCCTTTATATTCTTTTAATGAGTGTTCGTCGATCAGGGTTATCGTATAACCGGTATCATTGAACATTTAATCATAATTTTTCCTATTATTAGTTCTACTGTCGGTAAATTTTGTTCTGGCTGGTAAATTGAAAATGTTTCTTCTGTAAACATATTAGTTCTTTGAAGATGATCGACCTCCATTGGTTTTGTGTTATTTTGGTTTCTAACTGGATATATTGAGTTTCTACATTGTACATGCTCTTGAATTTTTCGGAGGGTTGTGTTTTACTTGGGCATTATTTTGCCTTCAATTACTCTTTCGTTTTTGAAATGTGTTCTTTGTTTTCTTAATTAGATTATGTACTATCTGATTTTGATCTACATAGTTGCGGTGTGGACTGAAATAATTGCCATTTTGCTAAATTTACCATCGTATCGTAAACCACACTCCTCCAGACAATAATATGCTTCTCTAAGGCTCACTATGTTTCAACAATGTATGATGATTATGCTGGCTTAATGTACTGGCATGCTACTTAAAAAGGTTTTTAGAATCATTGCTTCATTGGTTGAGGGACAAAAGTCTTTTTGTTTTCCGCAAGGTATCCATGTTTAGACGTGAAACATTAGCCGGCGCACTGTCTTGTTGGAAATAGAAAGATTGTCCGCGGGAAATACAAGTACGAAAGGGCGGAGTTCGGGTATAAAGAATATTTTATGCTCCTGCAACTTGCAACGATCCAAGCTGGCTAAATACATTCAGGTGTTTATATTCTAAAATTTTGAGAAAGGGTACAACTTCATTGTTTGACAAAACCGTGAAGGGATTACAATCAAATTTGGTATCATATTAAATTATTTTGAGAGTCATATAATCACTTCGTTTTATTACTATGTTTTACTACGCGTCAGCGCAAATTATACTAATATCATTGGAGGCATAGCAATGGAAAGGCTGATTGCATTAATTTTTGGCATTGCTCAATTATACTAGAACATTTTTTAAAGCAATTTAAAAAATATTAACATATAGATGGAGTAAAGTCAACCAGATGTTTCAAAATCGTGAATATCAGTTATATTGGGGCTAAGGCAAGTTTTCGCACGATTTTATCCATCCATTAGACAAATATATACACTGTTAGAGGAAAACACACTCTCTCAATTTCAAATCTTTGACATGCAGTTTGGTTTCGATTTGGACAATTTTTAATCATAAGGTGACATACTTCCAACGCACTATTCGTGCAAGGTTTTATTCAGGTTCCAAGATATGTGATTTCACCTAAAAGTGGGCGGTTCCACGCCCATCGTCCAATTTCAACCACGGATTTTAAAAAGTCCTCTCATACCATCTCGGAGGTAAAGTTAAATGTGTCTGATGTGTAAAGTTATTGATTTATCGCGCTTGTAGCAGTTTTTTACAATTCCGACTTTGCCCATCTACGAACTCTTCCTTTTTTGCCAAGTACCAATTCTACTTATTACGATATCTCAATATTTACTCAAGCTTGCACAGACGGACGGACGGACAGCTCGTCTCGTCAACCTGATCAATTATATATACATAAGTCTATATATATCTCGATTAGATTTAGATGATACCAGAAACCGTTAGGTGAACGAAACTATTATACTCTATTGCAAGATCCTGTTTTAACGGGCTCATTTCGAAAGAAATAAGGCCCGATCAATTTTTAGGAAAGCAATTGCATTTTATGAACCGCACGAGAATTTGACTTACCCCAAAAGGCAATTTTGTTTCTTGACGAAGCCATTTAGCCAGAAATGGGCCTCATCTGAGTAGATGATTTTCCGCTGAACATGAATTTGTGAATTTTTCGGAGAATATGTGAAAAAGTTGTGTGCTATTAAACCATATGATGTGTACATTATATGTATGTACGTTTATTTCTACTTTTGTTAAATAAAAACTTTTAATAAAGCAAATTATTTGTTTTAAAAAACTTTAGTGCTTTTTACAAAAAATTATCAATTATTAATTGAGGACCAATGATATTATTATTCCACATCAGAATGCTTAAGATAAAAAACTAAACTGTGTTACTTTACCCTTAATGGCAAACATTACTTTATTTATAAATCGTGCAAAATTTTAGATAAACAAATAAAAGATATTCCTTTAAGTTAACACATTTTTGGACAATTTAAAATTATACAATACAAGATCTGTACTGAATTGCAAAATGTAATTAATTAGTCATATAAGCATTAATTGAAAAGTATTTAACTTTTTCTTAAGGCAGTTTCAAACAAAAAATTAAATATAAAATCGTAAACCATGTTTGACTAGCTTTTCTCCAATGCCTCCAGAGCAAGAAAATTGCATCCAGAAAAATAAATTTTTTGCATGTGTTTATTTCCTTTGAAACTGTTATAACTTAAAGTGTTAAAATTAGTTTAGCAAAGAAATCACATTGAAAACCCTAGTGTTAAGTATATATACAGGTTGTCTTATGTGTATGCTTACATAGTTGATAAAATTGTTCATTCATTTCTAAAATATATCTTTGGCATTAATGCTTTGATAGTTTAAGTTTCCCCCATTCAAAGCAAAAAAATGTTAGGTACAATAGAACCGATTTAATTAAGGGTTTATGCTAATTGTGCTAATTTAAACTAGAAAGTTATCAATCTCATTTTTCTTTCTTAAAACTATGTTCTTTGTTAAGGCGGCTTATTAAATCGATGTCCTACCCAGATTTTTAAGCTTTAAAATTTTGTTTACTGAAAGTTGACTAAATCAGCAGTTCGTATCAGCTAAACTTTGTATGCTTTCTTTAGTAACTAACATTCTAATTAATTTATTCAATAAATAGGTACTTTGAGGTTTGGCTCCACGCGTACTCAAATGTATTAATCATAATCAGTTGCTAAGTTGTATTTAAAATATATACTTAGCAGTCACAAACTTAATCAAATAAGCCCATTTATTTTAGCTTAGTTTTGGGAAATAATCGCCTATAATTTTTTTACAGGATATACAAAATATCCCACAAGCCTACCAATCATCATCCTCGTTGTACTCCGATAATTCGAGGCGAAATGATGTGCTGACATTTTCCAATTTGCGGTGGCAGGTTCGTCCCAAGGGATTATGTCTCAGGTTAACTAATTCTAAGTTATCGCTTGTGATCATTTCATCAGTGTCGATTTCTAAAAAAAAATGTGTGTTGTGGTTATCTAAATTGATTATTATATAGAGAATTTACCGATAATGGCATTGTGACTGGCGTCCAATTCCCGTAATTTGGGCATTTTAAACACAACTGGTGGTAAAACAATAAATGAGTTGTGTGAGATATTCAACCGCGCCAACGCATTTAGATCTGCCAACTCATCGGGCAATTTGGCCATTTGATTGTGCGAGAGGTTGAGGTCTTCATGTAATGAAAAGTAGATGTGTGGTAAGTCAGTTGTGAAATATTGACTAATGCGTTTATTGAAAAACTTACCTGTAATGAGATTAAATTTGAGCGCGAATTTCGCTGGTATCTTTTTGATGACATTGCTACTAAGATCACAAGTCTTTAGTTGGGTATTGCGCATTAAATGATAAATCGCGTCGGGAATTTGCGTCAGTTGGCATTCGGACAAGTCTGAAAATAATAAACAAACTTATGTTAATGATTTTGCTAAATTTAATTTAAAATCTACGGTTACTAACAACAAATTTGATGAAACTGAATGAAATCAAGCAAAAACTTGTAATCAATAGTGAAACATGTGAATACGTTTTAATAGAACAGTAGTCAATAAATGGACAAACTCTAAATTTTATTCGTTATTATTCCACCTTATTGATTTATGAGTAAGTTGTGTTTACTATTGTAATAAGTAGTTTCTAAGATACATTACGGCCAATCCAAGTATACGTACTTTTTATCAATAGATATTTTTTGACATATCACGCGTGAGTCATGTCAAGCTGTTATGTTACTTTTGTTTAGTATTGTTTTGCATTTCATCAAGGAAAGACTTACGCCTGAGCAACTTTATTACGAAAACTTACGTTCTGTAAAGAATGTGTTTCATGCGCTTCGCTCAACTTATGATCAATAACATTGGCCTACTGAGCGGACTATTCGCAACACCATCACCCATCTTGAGAACCAGCATTCATTATTGGATATTCGACCGAATAGACCACGTCCAGCACACAGTGAAGAAAGCCGTAGCTGAGACTGTACACGAAGACCGTGGAGTGTCGATTCCGCACCGTTCGTAGCAACTCGGACTGACGTGAGGAACGACTTGGCGCATTTTACGTCGACATCTTAAATTAAAAGCGTATAAAATACAGCTTGTGCAAGAACTGAAACCGCCCAACCTTCCCAAGCGACATCGCTTCGCTCTATGGGCTCTTGAAGAATTCCTTGATGCTGGTGAGAACGTGACTGTCAATGGTGACCGCTATCGCGCCATGATAACCCGCTATATGATGCCTTAAATTAAAGTTCGTGATCTCGGCGATATTTGGTTTCAACAAGACGGCGCCAATTTTAGTCGAAATTTACCCTAAAAGTGAGTCCGCCTCTAGATATTAAAAAAAATTTTATTTTTCCAAAAATTTTCTTTTTTAATAATCTCCAAATTTTAAACTCAGGCTAATCATAAAAAAAAAATTTCGCTCAACCCTAATACGCATACTTATAATAAATTAAATAACACATACACAATTTTTTTCAACAATTATCACAAACAATCCTAATGCGCATATTATTATAAATTCCTTAGAAAAAAGTTTATAATACTACAATACTACCTAAGTTCTTTTATTATTGGTAACATATTGGTAACCTACTTAATAAGTTATGAAATGCTCAAATCCAGAGCACATGATATTTCTTTAATAAGTTTCAAAAGTATATATATTACCTAATGACTCATTATCTTGCGCATTTTCACATCTCTCTACAACACGCACCACAGCATGTGCCATTGTTGACAATTTTTTCAACTTTTCAGAAATGAATTAAAAATAACCAAATACAGTGTAATTTTCCCTCTAACAGCGTACACGTGGATTTTCGCGAGGTTTCGCTTTCGATTTATTATATTTCCTAGAAAATATATTCAGAAAAACACAAACGACACGATCAAATCGCGGATGGAAATTGAGTGAAAGATCTATTGTGCAGCTCGTGAAGAAAACATTATATCAAAACACTTGCTTTTGAGAAAGACATTAAGTTATAAGAGAATTTGTTATAAAAGAGAGTGAAATAAACACTCTTAAAAGTTGTTGTTTAGATAGTCATATTTATGATTTGCTTTGTGATATTCAAATTTAAATCAATACATACTATATTATTGTCATACAATATGATATTTTCAAACGTTTTTCTTTAAACGAATTTAAGTAATTACAAGCTGCATTTATTCGATTAGAAAAATACTATATTTGTGCAATTTCGTTATATGGGAGGTGAACGTCGTCAATGCGCTACTTCGTTCATATTAACACAATGGAATTGTATGAAAAAATTAATATAATAAGTAATAATTATTTGGCCAAGAGTGGGATTTTGTCTCTTTGTATGTGTTTGATTGTACAAATGTATGTATGTACATACATATATCTATTTATAATTTATTTTGTGCTCTAAGCATAAGTACTAGTATATACAACGTGCTGTGCAGAGAGCTTGCACTAAAGCTCTCGTGTAAGGTTTTATCAGAGAATGTTAATAAATATTTATATATATTTAATTTATTCAAATTCTCTGGTTTTATGTCTTTTCTTCTACATTAGTTCACAATTATAGGAGCAAATGAGCTTTTGCTATAATATTTAATGCGCTGTAGTGTATAATAAATATATACACATATTTAAGTAAAACTGATCAATTTAGGAATTTACATTTATCAACATGTTGTACAGATATGACTACCAACTGAAATTAAATTAATTAATAAATAAACATTAAAACTAATCTCTCCTACCTAAAGTACAAATTCTTGAAGGGCCACATAATATTCTATTCTATTTGGAGAGAATGTTAATAAATTCTCTGATAGGAGTACTTAAAATTTTTGAGATCACATTCAACTGCAGGTTAGTTTTTCAGTATTTTATCACAGAAGAAAGACCTAATTATTTCTTTTGGCTAAATATATTTGGGATGTCTGAAAAATATGCTATCACTACTATTTTAAAATATCAACAAAGAAACCATCTACAAACATATATATTTTCTGTCAGAAAGCTACAAAGGGCTTTATTCTAATTCATAATGGGAATTACTTTCAAAAAGTCTAAATACATACTAAATGTATGTATATTTTTAAATAAGTACATATATATAGTAATACAATGTAAAATTTTATAGAGATTATGGGGGAAAGATGTTTAATTATTTTTCTCCTGAAAAGGTTTTTTTAAACCCAACGTATTGTTTAAAGAAAGCGAGAGAGAACGGAAGAGGTAAATATAAACAGGGTATGTACATATAGGAAAACCGTAAAGTTCCAAGAGATTAATTCCACCAGTTTGTAGTAGTAGACAAAGGGTCTACTACGACGTCGGAAAAAAAACGAAAGCACGAGACATATCAGCTTGATCAGCTGCCAACAACAAACAGCTGCTACCAACAATTGGCTTTGTGGCCTGAGAATAAAGAACGGATTTATATTAGATACAATTGCACTTGTTTAATTTGGCGTCACTTCTTTTTGGTTATTGTAGATTTCGGTGCTTATAATTATTATTTGAATATACATACGTATGTATTAATTTTCAAAGCTTACATACATAAGTAGTATGCACTTACAAGAGTACAAGATCACATGAAATTAGTGCGCGAAAGCTGCAATATGTGCAGATTTCAAATATTATTCATAATAATATTGTAATAATTGTTCAAATCGAACCAAAACTGTTGAAGCCCCTAGTTACCGAATATGTGGACCCCAGTACCGATAGATAACTTTTTACCGAAAATATCGGTCAATGTACGAGATATATAATTGAAATTCAGAGAGGATTATTTTCTAATAATAGTATGTCTGAATGTCAAAAATAGGTTGAATCAAGTCAATACTTCCCTTAGACCCCATATACCTAATATAAAGATTTTTGAAATTTCTGGCGACTTTATATAGCATATAGCAGCCAATATGTTATCACAATAGTTATCTCAATGAAAATGAGATAGCGAGTTTAACTCATAACAGTATATTATCTTTGTACCTAAAACTTTACTCTGTATGATTGGTGATCATTTTATTAGTCTGTTATGTTAGTGGTATGTGCTATTGGTAAAATTTGATAAAATTGGGTCAATACTACCCCCAACTCCCATATACTACTTATAATGATTTTCGTTATTATAACAAGTTTTCTGCCGGTCAGTGAATATTATTTGTATATAAAATTGCTTCCGTCCCCTTCTCTACCCCCAATAAACCCCATAAATGATTTCCTTCTTTCCACCTGTATTTAAACCGTTCATGTTGGTCAAAATGTGTGATATTTTATTAAATTTAATAACCCAACGATTACCCTCCTCCCGCCCAACCGACGCGAGGGGCGCAATCCGCATACGTGCGGAATTAGCCGAGTCAGAAAAGGCAAGAGAGTTTTTTAAGTGTTGAGATCTAAAACTGCTCAGCTACAGAAACAAAAATTTCAACAGCTAAGATTAATAGTTACAATATAATAAATTGTTAAATTTTTATTTATTAAGAGAAAACAATAAAGTCTTTTTAATTTAGAAAAGTTAGTCAGATAAGTCAAATTTGCTGGAATGAGAATTAAAATCATGAGATATACGGCGGAATGGCTCGTTTAGTCCAAAATTTGATCTACAGGATTTTAGCAACGTTTAACAAAATTGAGGACAGCTTTTGCTTTCAAGACCATGGTATCAATAGATTAAATATAGAAGTTTGCATAAAATGTATGTGGTTTAGTGCTGAATTAGATTAGAATTGGTCTTTATCTTGGTCTAAACCTCATACTCTAATATAATGAATTCTGACCGTTTGGTAGATGCTTTCCACGTCAACTAAATATATATTAAATTTAGCCTCTTCGATCGAGTTAATTTCACATACATAGGTATATCACATTTGAGGTTTTAATAATATAATTTTAGTCGATTTCATCCAATAATTGATGTTTAATTCTTTCGCAACATTTTGAATATAAAGTTTTACCAACAAATGAAGGTTTCCCCGGCTTTGATTATTGCAAGTTGCAGGAGTATACAATATTCGGGTACACCCGAACTTAGCCCTTCCTTACTTGTTAAAACACTTTTCTTTACGTTATAGTAAAAGCCATACTTAACCTTACATATACTTATAAATAGTTATATAAGGGTGATTCGCTTCAAGGCTCCCTACTTTTTTAAAGAAAAAAACACAGAAAGTTCAAATTTAATAGGGAATAGGGAATGTTCGAAAGAACATTCTGTGGCACTTATTTTTTGAAGATTATCTCTTTCACATGATGGTCCATCCGTTGAGTCCAATTTTCGATCACTCTTTCGAGCATTTCGACTGGTAACTGGCGAATGACACGCGTGATGTTTTGCTCCAAGACCTGAATCGAATCGAGATTGTTCGCACATACTTTAGTCTTTACATATCCCCACAGGAAAAAGTCTAACGGTGTGATATCACACGATCTTGGTGGCCAATCGACCGGTCTAAAACGCGAAAATATCTGCTACCGAAGTGTTCTCTTAATAAATACATTAAGTGGTGCGATGTGCGGGAAGTGGCGCCGTCTTGTTGAAATCACATCAGCAATCGCTGAGATCACGACGTTCAATTTCAGGCATCAAAGGCAGGCTCGACGTGAAATTCGCATACGTCAGTCCGAGTTGCTGCGAACGGCGCCGAATCGACAAACCACGGTATCCTGTACATTCTCAGCTATGGCCGCTATATTTTCTTCACTGCGTGCTGGATGATTCGGTCGAATATTCTTTATAGAACGTTAGTTTTCGTAATAAAGTTGTTCAGGCGTAAGTCTTTCCATGATGAAATGCAAAACAATACTAAACAAAAGTAACATAACAGCTTGACATGACTCACGCGTGATCTGTCGAGAAAAGGCTATTGATAAATGTAACTCTGCTTGAATCCCCTGTTACTTATTATATACATATATACAAAAAGGGTCGGTTGCTTCAAGAAAATTATTCGAAACGCTTTATATTATATTATGAACCGAAAGTGGAAACACGTGGCCGAAAGAGAGGAATGTCACCAAAAATTATAGCACGCTTAACCAGACTATGCAAAGCAAAGCCATTTACACCAGCAGCGGCCACTGAATTTGACTGTTACTGTAGAAGCAGTCTACGAGAGAACAAAGTAAATGCTCACAGCCCTAGGAAAGTGCCGCTACTCACTACAAAACCTGTAGCAAAGCGCATGTAGTTTGCCACTTAGAATGGTTAATTTCGACAATGCACCAGAATAATTATCCAAAGCATACCATCAAAAAGGCGCATAAGTAGTTCCAGGACAATCGAGTAGGCTTGATGGACACAATCGCCAGATCTGAACCCAATTGAAAATCTTTGGATCGATTTAAAGAAAGATGTGTTTAATTGTCAGCCAAAAAACAATACTGAGCTATAGGCTGCTAGGAACGCTATTCCCTTGGAAAGATGTCTGAAACTTGTTTACTCCATGGCAACACGATGTACCGCTGGTATTTCCAACAAAGGATATGCAATGTTAGGTATTACAACAAAGTTTTTTTTATGTAAAATTTAAATACTATAAATTGAATACATGTTTTTGTTATACAGCTTCATCATTTTCCTTTATTTCATAAAAATCGAGTGGAGGTGCTATTTTTTTGATCGAGTGAGTTTCTTGTAGTTGATAGTTAATATATCGCAACTTTTCTATAAGGTATTAAATACTAATTTTACTAAGTGATTAATAATCATGTTTGTTGTACTGAGTTTATATAAAAAGTAACGACTGGACAGTTAAACAGTTCCCGCAGCTGTACTTATATGTACATATACATATATAGTATCCACATATGTACATATGAAAACATTGCCTACGCAATTAACAAAGTGGTAATTATATGATAAGATTATAATAAACAAGTTCAATGCCTTATTATACTCTCGCAACATGCTGGTGAGGCTTTGATTGGTTTTAACTCTTTATACTCTAACCAGGGTGTATTAAGTTTGCCAAGGTATTTGTAACACCCAAAAGGAAACGTGGGAGACTATGTAAAGTATATGTATGTATATAAATGAACAGCCAGATGAGCTTTTTTATTTGACAAATATTTGAAATAATTCGCCTAACTTTTGCTTATAACAATTAAATCTAGTTGAGATACATGGATTAGGAAAGAGAGAAGATTTGATTTGACTAAAAGCATATGTACTTGATACATTCCGTAGGGAAAATTCCATTCCCTATATAACGTTTGTTTATGATCTAAACTACACACCATCTAGCACACCATCGTTATTATCGAATAACGTCAGTTAAATTAAATTTAATGAAAAGTATGATACGGTAGGTTTACATGTGGCTTAATTCAAAACGTGGACAATAGGCGGGTAAATACTTAACTGCTTTTGAATTAACCCAAAATTCAGTGAAGGGTTATCCGTTTGCAGTTTATTAGAAAAAAAACGTTTTTCGTGGTTTTTTAAAGGAATTTATCTTAATAAATAGATCAAAACAATTTACAGAATTAAATGATTAAAATTAAACTTACAGATCATTCTACTTAAAATTATTTCAAATCGAATAGATAAATACCGGTAATGACTGAAGGAGTAGTCAAAATTTTGATTAAAAAATCAAAATTAAAATTAAAAATCTTCGCTTATTGCCGGACTACTATATCTAGGAATGTCGTGTAAAAATTTCAAGGCGATCGGTAAAGCAGTTTCGGAGAAATTTTCCTCATCGAAACTAAGTAAAAAACGTTACACTAAGTTCAAAAATTCTTAAAAATACAGTCATATCTCAGAAACTATTTAGCGGATCTTATTTAAACTATTGGAAAATATTTTCAAATATATATGCAATAAATATTCATATGTATAAGCAAAAAAAAAATCGATTTATTTTGAAATTCACAAGTTAATATAAGTATTTTCGATATCTCAAGCGATAGAAATCAATTGAAGAGACAACAGGGTGATTCAAAAATAATAATATTTAAGAAAAAATTTATTTAATGGCAAATAAAAATATGGAATTTAGAAAAAATTGAATTAATAAAAATAAATTATTCAATATTCGGATTCATAATATTAGCATTATTATTATTATTTTGGTAACTAGCTACCCTACCTTTTGGAACAGTATATCGTTTGTATTTATAAGGTATTTCAATCGGATTATCAATGGTGATAAAGTTCCACTTATCTTGGCTGGCCATTTCAACATCAACTTCGCTGATAAAATTTCTGAGCGGTTGAGAACTTTTCTTTCGGAAAATTTGAATTTGAAAATGAATAATGATCCACAAGAATCCACAACAAAATATGGGACCATTATTGACGCGATATTTTCCAGATATTTAGTCTCAAACTTATGTTTCTTATTTCAGTTACCATTAACCTGAATAACCTACAAGTATTGTAAGATAATAAAAATATTTTAAACAATATTAACTTCCAATTTATTTAATAAAAGAAAACAATTTTTTTTTCTTATCGGTCACCACGCTTCAAAAGTGTAAATTGAATTAATATCAAAGAAAAAATAATAATGCATAATAAATAAATAAACAATCATAATTCCATAAGTTGATAAAAAATGATATGTAAT